CCGGAGGCTCCTGTAGTGCCTCCCAGAGGGCAAGAGGGTGAAGAGGCTGTGTGCTGGGCCCATCGCACCATCATCTCATTTTAGGCCCATCTCCAAGCTGCCTTTTATTTCAAAAATTTTAGAAAAAATTGTATATTCACAGGTCAAATGTTTTCTGGATGAGCACAATATCCTGGAGGTTTTTCAGTCTGGCTTCAAAACTCGCCACAGCACAGAATCAGCTCTAGTCAGAGTTTTTAATGATATTCTTATGGCCATTAATTCTGGTGAACATGTGGTTCTTGTCCTGCTCGACTTAACCGCTGCCTTTGATACAGTGGACCACAGCATTTTAATATCACGCTTACAGCACCAAGTGGGTATCTGTGGTACTGCACTGAGCTGGTTTAGGTCCTATCTAGCAGACAGAGCCATTTCTGTCAACATAGCTGGGTCTGAATCCTCCACTGCTCCTCTGTGTTTTGGGGTTCCACAGGGCTCTATTTTAGGTCCCCTGTTTTTCTCCCTTTACCTGCTTCCATTGGGATCAATCCTTAGAAAGCATGGGATCTTTTTTCATTGTTACGCTGACGATAGTCAGATCTATATGTCACTAAAAAAGAAAGATGCCCCCTCAATTAGGCCACTTCTGTTGTGTCTTGAAGACATCAAAGCCTGGATGTCTTTAAACTTCTTAAATTTCAATGAAAAGAAAACAGAAGTGATGGTGTTTGGTCCTAGTGGCTCTTGTGAACCTTGCCCTGTGGATCTGGGCCCTCTGGCACCACATTTAAAGAAAACTTTAACTTGGGTTTTAAAATGGACAGTGATTTTAAATTAGATTCCCAGATTGGAGCAGTGGTCAAGACCAGTTTTTATCACCTCAGACAGCTGGCTAAGGTAAAGTCCATCCTCACAAAACAACAGCTGGAAACAGTAATCCATGCCTTCGTCACCTCTCGGCTGGATTACTGCAACGCTCTTTACCTTGGAGTCAGCCAGTCCTCCCTCAGACGCCTCTAGTTGGTCCAGAACGCTGCTGCTCGGCTTCTAACTGGAGTTCATGAGAGGGAGCACATCACCCCCTCTCTGGCTTCACTCCACTGGCTGCCTGTTCATTTTAGAGTTCATTTTAAGATTCTTTTATTTGTTTTTAAAAGTTTAAATGGTCTTGCTCCATCATACCTCTCTGAGCTGCTTCACCCATACTCTCCTGCTCGGTGCCTTAGATCAGCTGATCAGCTGCTCCTGAAGGTACCGAGGTCTAAACGGAGGCTCAGAGGGGACAGAGCTTTTTCTGTTGCTGCTCCAAGACTGTGGAACGATCTTCCTCTTCCCATCAGACGAGCCCCTTCACTGTCCAGTTTTAAAACTCTTTTAAAAACACATTTTTACTCCCTGGCTTTTAGCACACACTGAATTCTGCTCTGCACAGTTTTTATTATTTTTTTATTGATCTTAATGTTTTAACAACTGTTTTATGTGTTTAAATGTTCTTGATTTTATATGTACAGCACTTTGTGGCAGCTGTGGTTGTTTTAAAGGGCTTTATAAATAAATTATTATTATTATTAAACTTCCAAGTTTGACCTAACCTTCTAATTTGGTGAATCTCCTCTTTCAAAAGAATGGAAGGACAAAATAACAAAAGAAACTGAATGAATATGGAGATGTACAGTGAGGAAAATAAGTATTTGAACACCTTGCGACTTTGCAAGTTTTCCCACTTAGAAATCATGGAGTGAATGAGGCAGGATGTCTTCAATGTGACAGGGACCCTCCCGAGACGCAGGCTCAGGTTGAAGACATGTTGGAGAGGCTCCCCAGCTGGACAGCACATGCCTTGAGCATCCTGGGGCATACCTTGTCCAGGCCTGCAGCCTTCCTGGGGTGTGTCAGGATCAGCTGGACAGGAACGAACCCAGTTGTGCAGACAGGACTCAACTCGGCAGATTACAAAAATAAATATGTTTAATGATAAATAAAAAGGTAACAAAACAATAAGCTGACGTGGCAGCAAAACTTACATGGACTCAGGAAGCTCAGGGAGAAACTCACAAGACGCAGGAAACATGAAGACCCAAACGAATACGACCCGACAAAGGAACAACACAGGACAGGAGGTTTATATACAAGGACAAGACAAGACGTGATTACAAACAGCAGGTGTGACGAGACAAAGGTGGCAACAATTAAACTGACGAGGAAACACTAGGGAAACACAGACACAAACAGAAACAGCAAAAGGTGCCATCCTTACAGGGTGTAGTCTGCTAAGCTCTCTCCTCACTTGATTTACATTGAAGGTGGGGAGGAGGAGGACACACTGTGGAGACCCTGTATGAACGAGCTGGAAGAAGAATTTAAAAATAGTATAACATCATGCAGGCTGTAGCAGAATCAGCTTCGTGCTCCTCAGTAAACATTGCTGAAATCGTCTCAGAACAGGTGATGATGGTGGACCTGTCTTGAACAGGTGATGATGGTGGGGCATGTCTTGAACAGGTGATG